ATCGGCTTAATTCGGAGAAAGAGAACGCTTACGGTCCCGTGTTTAATTGTCCTGTGAGGGCAACTTTAAGCTGAAAGGAACAGAGCGCTCTCTAGTTCATAATTCAAATGACCAGCAAAATATGTGTACTTATACACGTTGTATTATTTAGGATTTAACGTTTTCACGCCAAGAAAGGCTTATAAGAAAGTTCGATGTTTCCACTGACGTGTTTTAAGCAACACGAAATAATTCAGAGATAATTTACAGAATACCCCTTAAAATATCTTGGAATAACAGCATACAAGTTGTGCGTAACATTGAGGACATTTACAAATGTAAATCATTTATACGTACGTTTAAAACTTATACCAAGTTCTATTCGAGGAACCAAACATTATTCCATTATTCATCTTTGGATAGTTAAAATGATTTGAGTATGACTAAGCCTGTTATTATAATATTATTATTAATTAGCAACTAAAAAATAAATAATATTTTATGCGTTGTTCTTGGGGTATTTGTGAAGTTCGCTGTCCATATAATCGCCCTGATAATGGAAGCAGTAAGCACCTGTGAAACGTTAGTAAACTTATAGCAGACTACACGGCGCAATATCCCAGAAGATAATTATTTTCTTCACAACCTACGGTAATTTGCTTATGACTTGTCTTTATCTGGTCACTCCGTGGATGACGGAAGATAAAATGAATGGGGGGGGGGAGTACTACTGAAATATTAATAAATTAAAGAAATAATTTAAATCAAAAACATTAAACATAAATCGGCATTTTGAATTGTCATATCGCTGTATCAACTTTCTTGGGTTGGCCCGTATTTCTGAAGCCCTACTTTACATTTTCGCACGAACGAACGTGTATAAAATATTATCGTCTGAATTCTAAATAGTATTTGTAAGCACAGATTTTATTGTCGCGAATTCCAAGTCTGAGCGAGGAGTGGCTATAAGAAAGACAATAAAAACAGGGAATTTACTTTAAAAACATTTGACTGCCACTGTAATGTAGTTTAGCGACGTTTTTGAGCATTTATTGCGTGTTTGAACCCGAAATACGCCCTGTTTTTACAGAAAAAAACAGCCCGTCTCAAATCATCGTCGAATTTCAATACGTTTCCACTCTAAATAATTGCAGGATGGAACTGAAGAATAAGAACCATGGAAGTAATTCTACTCCAAGTGATTGTAATAAAGTCAAACTTTGGCCCTTGTATATAAAGGCTACATTGATGAACTTTCCTCTCTTAGCTTCTGTTTGAAATCTGATTAGAGTTTATAATTTCGTTTTGTGTTATCCCTGTCTTCAAGACCTTCAAACACTTGATCTGTAGACTTGTGAAGAACATAATGATCTGCCTATTGGCAAGTATTTCATTTATTGATGTTCGTAAGTATTAGTAACTTACTCACAGACGAAGGCAGCAAATCCAGTGTACATTTTTTTCACCAAAAATTCCACGCCAAACTGCTTGAACTCAAACGTTCGAATCTCCTAACCAATCATCTCCTTGAAGAGGATGATAGTCTCTCAGCTGGTCACGAAATTTCCCACACTCACTCACTCTGTGGTACAGGAAATTCTTTGAAAATTCGATCGGATACTCGGCTTATCAAAAATAGCCCACTTACTTTATGTAACCCTAAGGTTCATCACCGTGTTCACAAAAACCCGTCACCGAACTCTGACCTGAGATAGCTGCTTCCGGTTCGCTCCATCGATTTCTATATCTCTTGACGTTATCCTCCTACCTTCGCCTACGTCTTCCCTTCAGGCCTCCCACCCAATACATTTTATAAAACTCTACCCTCCCCCGTGCGTTCTGCATGTCCCATCCATCTCTTCGATTTAATCACCCTAACAATACCAGGTGAGGAATACAGGCAGTGGAGTTCATATTTATGCAATTTTCTACATAATCCGTCTTCCTCCCTTTAGGTCCAAATGCCTTCCTCAAAGACCCTCAACGTACGAGGTGCGATAGGAAAGTTTCCAGACTGCGCGTATAAAAACCCGTACACTTATCTCAGGTATTAAATTCATCCATCACCCTCGAAGTAGTTCCAGGGATGCTTCCAGGCTTGGCAGCGGCGCTGGGATCGTTGTGTTCACTCCCAGGGGAACTACTTCGAGGGTGATGGATGAATTTAATACCTGAGATAAGTGTACGGGTTTTTATACGCGCAGTCTGGAAACTTTCCTATCGCACCTCGTACGTTGAGGGTCTTTGAGGAAGGCATTTGGACCTAAAGGGAGGAAGACGGATTATGTAGAAAATTGCATAAATATGAACTCCACTGCCTGTATTCCTCACCTGGTATTGTTAGGGTGATTAAATCGAAGAGATGGATGGGACATGCAGAACGCACGGGGGAGGGTAGAGTTTTATAAAATGTATTGGGTGGGAGGCCTGAAGGGAAGACGTAGGCGAAGGTAGGAGGATAACGTCAAGAGATATAGAAATCGATGGAGCGAACCGGAAGCAGCTATCTCAGGTCAGAGTTCGGTGACGGGTTTTTGTGAACACGGTGATGAACCTTAGGGTTACATAAAGTAAGTGGGCTATTTTTGATAAGCCGAGTATCCGATCGAATTTTCAAAGAATTTCCTGTACCACAGAGTGAGTGAGTGTGGGAAATTTCGTGACCAGCTGAGAGACTATCATCCTCTTCAAGGAGATGATTGGTTAGGAGATTCGAACGTTTGAGTTCAAGCAGTTTGGCGTGGAATTTTTGGTGAAAAAAATGTACACTGGATTTGCTGCCTTCGTCTGTGAGTAAGTTACTAATACTTACGAACATCAATAAATGAAATACTTGCCAATAGGCAGATCATTATGTTCTTCACAAGTCTACAGATCAAGTGTTTGAAGGTCTTGAAGACAGGGATAACACAAAACGAAATTATAAACTCTAATCAGATTTCAAACAGAAGCTAAGAGAGGAAAGTTCATCAATGTAGCCTTTATATACAAGGGCCAAAGTTTGACTTTATTACAATCACTTGGAGTAGAATTACTTCCATGGTTCTTATTCTTCAGTTCCATCCTGCAATTATTTAGAGTGGAAACGTATTGAAATTCGACGATGATTTGAGACGGGCTGTTTTTTTCTGTAAAAACAGGGCGTATTTCGGGTTCAAACACGCAATAAATGCTCAAAAACGTCGCTAAACTACATTACAGTGGCAGTCAAATGTTTTTAAAGTAAATTCCCTGTTTTTATTGTCTTTCTTATAGCCACTCCTCGCTCAGACTTGGAATTCGCGACAATAAAATCTGTGCTTACAAATACTATTTAGAATTCAGACGATAATATTTTATACACGTTCGTTCGTGCGAAAATGTAAAGTAGGGCTTCAGAAATACGGGCCAACCCAAGAAAGTTGATACAGCGATATGACAATTCAAAATGCCGATTTATGTTTAATGTTTTTGATTTAAATTATTTCT